GCGCCACCGATTTAAGTAATGCCTCATTTCCTCCTTTAGATAGTAGTTTTGAAGACCATGAGTTTACTCTATTGTTTAGCCTTTCCTGAACATAGGAGAAAACTTGTTTCTTCGAACCACATATCTTTTCCGGTAACCCCAAATACATCCTCATACCTCCCTCTGTAATGATCCCAAGCGCCTGTTTTAGAGCTTGTTTTCCTTCTTGATTGACTTTACTTCCAAAAAAAATCGATGATTTTGTGTAGTTCAGCTGCTGATCCGAGGTTTGGCCATAAGAGTTGATTATCTTTAGAAGCTATGTGCACTGTCCAATCTCCGCTCGACAAAAGAAGAGACTGTCATCTGCAAAAAGGAGGTGAGAAATTGGCAGGCTTGCTTGGGCAATCTTCAGTCCTGTAATGTGTCCTTCGTCTTCCGCTCCTCTCATTTGGCTTATTAATGCCTTCGTGCAGATAATAAAGAGAAAGGGAGAAAGAGGATCTCCTTGGTGAATGCCTCGCAATGTATAAATTTTCACTTTGGGAGATCCATTGATTAAGACTTGATATGAGACTGAAGACACACAAGTCATTATCCAGTTAACCCATATGGTATCGAAACCCAGTTTGATCATAAGTGCTTGAAGAAAACCCCATTCCACCCGATCATAGGCCTTACTCATGTCAGTCTTTATTGCGACGAACTTTGAATTGCAAATTGGGTTCCCCCGTTAGGCATGGAAGGCTTCCTGGGCTATTAAGATATTATCGGAAATAAGCCTCTTGGTAACAAAGGCTGATTGTGTCTCTGATATCAGGGAAGGTAGGACTCTCTTTAGCCTTTTGCAGAGGACTTTGGAGATGACTTTATAGCAGACATTACACAAGCTTATTAGACGGAACTCCGTCATCTCCCAGGGTCTTTCATTCTTCGGTATTAAACAGATGTTTGTATGATTTAATCTGGTGTCAAAACGACCTTCTTCGAAGAAAGTTCTAACGGTATGAATGATGTCTTTCTCCAAAGTTTTCCAGCATCATTGGTAGAAGAGATCAGTCATACCGTCTGGCCCCGATGCTTTCTCAGGATGGATATCAAACACCGCATGTTTAATCTTGCTGTCGGAGGGAGTACGGGCTAATACAATGTTCATTCCAGAAGTAACTTTTGTTGTAACATATCGAAGCGAATCATCATAATCGGCTGGATTAGAAGAGGTAAAGATGTTTTGATCATACTTCGTGGCGACTTTTCAATACCCATATTCCCGACGCCGACTTGATCTTTGTAATCCGGTTTCTGGCTCTTCTTTGTTTTGTGCTTGCATGGAAGAACTTTGTATTGCGGTCACCTTCAGCCAACTGGCCCGGTTTTTTTTGCTTCCAATATAACTCCTCATCTCGGTAAGCAGAACAGAGTAACCATTTAAGGTTTAAGACATCTTCGGACGAGATATTATCATCCAGTTGTGCTTTCTCTAATTGCTCTTTTATCATCTCTATCTTCTTTGCTGAGTTTGTTGGATGATATATCATGGTTTTTAACCATGATATAAGTCCTTTTTGTTGAGTCTTTTTGGTCTTTTTAGAGTCATAGAAGAGTCTTTGCAGGTTATAGCATGTCTGGAGCATAATTGGAGATTTTGGAACCTTTTGGAGCATTCTGAATGGAAGCCACGAAGTACCAAGCTCGAAGCAGAAAAGTATCGCATATGGTGACGCTCGTCACCACTTTTGGTGACGCTCGTCACCCAGAAAGGAAGGGGTCGTGGCCTGTTTTAAAATGATTGGAAAGAAATTGCAGTTTTGGCCCAAAAGTTTCAGTTTTTGCAAAAAGGCCCCAGATCGTGTTTTAGCTTGTATATTAGGTTTTTCAGCCATTCTTTTGGCATCTATCTTGGATCTTATTATTTTTGAGAGCTTTAGAGAGAGATTTGTAGCAGAGCTTTTGGAGAGACAAATCAGACTCCTTCAGAGCAGATTTCGAACTCCTTTATTTCTACTTCTTATTTCTTTTATGCAATCTATTCTTTTCATGATGTTTTCTCAAATCACCATGTCTGAGTAGTTTGTTAGTTAAGTTAGGGCTTTTCAAAGGTTGAAGAAGAGTTTGTAGAATTGCTAAAAAATTTTAGGAAATTCATTGGTTCTTCATCTGTGCTTGCATTCATATCGATTTCTTAGACACATCATCTGGATTTCGAAACCCTAGGTTTTTTGATATATGTGAGAGCATTATTAATCACCTGAACTAGTATTAGATGAGCAAAACGCCCTAGTACAAAGAGATTTGGCTTAGAAGTTTTGTGAACAATTGAACCTGATCTTTACTGCATGTTTAGGTTGTTAGGGTTTGCAAAGAGATTTGAAACTCTGTGATTTAGACATAGATAACTTCTGCAATGAGAATTGATTAGTTATATCTTTGTGATTCATGTTCAAGACGGTTTTAACTCGTTCCTGATTGCATGCATTCTACACTCTCGGATTCAACATGCGAACTGTCCTGACTTAGCGCCTTTAGCCTTCTGAACTTTAAGAACAAGCATAAAAACGCCCTCTTGCATTTATTTTACTGTTTTGCATTACATTCATTATTTATCGCTTAGCTTAATCTGAATCTATAATCGCTAGTGTGGTTTACATACTCCCTTGGGATTCGATAACCCCTTGTACTACAACTGCTTTTGCTGTGCACTTGCAGTAGTTTTATTTGGGTAAAATCTGACCCTATCATTGGATTACATTTCCTCCATCGTGAAATAGCTTTTCTGCATACACCAATTTTGGCAAAAAGGTCATTTGAACCCGCAGGGGTCGAGGAATCCCCACTCTCTTCAACCATCTCGTGGAAACCCTCCTTGTCAAGCCATCTCTTATCAAACCTGAAGTTCTGTTGGATGCGACTTTCCCGAGATTGTATTCGTGCGAGCACTGGTCGATGGTCAGATCCCCATAACTTTTAATACTCCACATTTGTATGGAAAAAAGAGTGTGCCAATCTTCATTTCCTACCGCTCTATCCAAACGGCATTGGACACGTCCAGAACGTCTGTATCCAAGCCACGAAAGAGAGTTCCTCTTGTACGGAAACTCAATCATTTTGCAAGGGTCTAGTATGTGTTTGAAGGCTAAGAAAGTGGATTCAGCTCGTCTCCTGCCTCCTCCCTTTTCATGGTTACCTATAATCTCGTTAAAGTCACCACTCATGAACCATGCTCCAGAACGTTGAAGGCTGAGAGATGCCAGCTTCTCCCATACAGCTCCACGGCACTCAATGACTGGATCATCGTACACAAATGTCATAAAGACTTTGTGACCTTCTATTGTAGCCTTGATATCAATCAACATATCGTTGGAAAATAAAACACGAACAAAATAACAATACATATAATACAAAGCTAAACCTCCGCTTCGCTCAGCTGGCTCCACGGTAAATAAATTATCATAACCAAAAGAAGTCTGAAAATCTTGCATAACAGAAAAAGAGATTTTTTTTTTGTTTCAGAAAGAAAAAGAAAACACAGACGGGTATAGCAGTGCAGCTCTTTAAGATGTTGTTTGGTCAGATACACTCCTGCACCTTGACAATTCCAAGAAATTGTATACATATCTTCTTACTAGGTGGTTTCTGGGACACCACCAAACCTGATAGAGCAGAAATACTCTTAGACAAAGCAGATAGGAACACCTCCATGCGAGGGACTTGTTTAACTTTTGTACCTGACGAGCGAGCGTGCAGGTTACTTCTTTTCTTTGGGGAAACTTTGCTTGGGAGGACACTAAGCTTCTTTGATGCCTGAGCTCCAGAAAGATCTGCTTCTTTGGGGAGTATTTCCGGGCAGTGGTTTTAGGTCCTCCTCTTGGGGCTTTTTCTCCAGCTCCTTTGCGATAATACGTCTTTGTCGTCTCCATAGCCGGAGGAACCGTTTTATCTCCAAAATTGTGAAAGTTAAAACTGAGCTTCTCCATTGGATCATATTATCTCACATTAGCTTTGTTTTCCAAGAACAAATTTCATAGCATACATGAATCTGCAGAAAGAAAAAATTTCATCTCTACTTCATATCGAAATAATACTTAAAAAAATAAAATTTTGTCTCTACTTCATATTGAAATAATATTTAGAAAAAATGAGACATAATCTAATGTTAATGTATATCATTTTTACTAAATACTCAAAATATATGTAATAGGTGAACCTGCGAAAGGATCCAAAGATAATATCCGACTGTTGCAGCGGAGATGCTCCATCAAATCAAGAATTAGCAGTTGGGGTCTTAACTCTTAATACTTCTCCCGAATGTCCGCTTTGGAATCAACCCGTTGAAAGCAGAACCACCTAATCTTCGATGGCCCTCTCAGTTGGTCGATTTGGGAGCCGATTGGTATTTGTTGTCATCTTCTTACTCTTTGTAGCTGGGGTTCTTGGCTGTCCAAGCTTCAGCAGTCGAACAGACATCTAACACTACTCGGCCTACGATCTATTCTATATGGTGTGAAATGAATGCTCGCATCCATCGCCAATAATTTAAGCTTCATAGATACGAACCCAGAGATGGTTTTGGAGATGTACCAACTATGGATCTCGACCACTTCACTCTTCTTATCAACTAATTGGAGTCTCCAATTGTTGATTAGAGCTTCTTCCTCTTCGACATGCAAACTCAGAACTTTCTCTTCTCTGCCATGTCGTCTGTCAACAATTTTTGTTGGTAAACTAAAGTCTAAAACAACAAAAAGTTTATTTAGTAGGCTGAAACTGTTTTTGTATAAAATAAATTATAACAAATAGTCCAAATAATTTTAAACACATAAACCATTATGTTTCAGTGGCCCAATAATTTTTTTAACATAAATCTTGCACATGACACATATCCAAAGCCTAGTATATATTGAAAGGCTAAAAACTGAATTGTAATTAATTAATGGTAAAAAAAAGTTAAATGATTTATACAATAAAACTTTTATAAATAGTCTTAATCCCACTTGATGAGAAATTGATTGTTAGTATACCGTAGATAGTGATCGATTTCTTTCCACCATAAAATTATCTAATCAAATTTAGTCAAAATGATATCACATTTTAGATCTGTAATCCTTTTAGATATTTCCTTTTCTAATTAGGATCCTAGTAACTTTCCTTATTTCTAGGAATTACCTATTTTATGCTTTAGACTTTCTCTATATAAAGAACCTTAGGAAATATGTTTTAGACACAACTTTTTACTATTATTATTAATCAAAGTCTTCGAGTTTTTGAGCTTTATCGATTCCAGAGCCTTTTCTTCAAGTTTGTCGCTTGCAAACTTGTATCTTCGATTCTAAGACCAACACTTGTTGTCTTAGTGCATCCCACTACGTCAGATATTGGAAGAGCAGCTCTAGTTTTCAACATGTCCTACAAAAGAATAATAGGATTACTAGTGAAAGCTTTATACATATAATTGTAACGTGTAAAGTTAGCGACATGAACAACATTCTTTACTGTCACTAGAGCCAAAACTCGTGTTCAAACATAAAGAAGAATATCTTACCTTGTACTTCTGGATTTTCTTATTGCGTTCTTGTTTTCGTTTGAGATAAGAACATTCAGCTTCCATAGAAAAGCCTGCTGTAACGTATCATATAGAAGATTAAACTTCTTGCTTATATGATTTAAGCAACATATACAATTTGTGAAAAACTGAATCCAAGAAACTTACTTTTAGCTCTATGGTTAGATTTGATAACATTCAAGTCATCAATCTCTTTGACACAGGAGTCTACCATTGGATGTGCCTTGTGTATGCCACTGGACGAAGTGTTTGGCCTGAAATTATCTGCCTGAAGCAAGCTATCAACAAACTTTGCTCTTCGTCCTTCTTCACTGCTTTGTATACCCAACGACTCCTCTGTGAAAGCTCAGAGAATTTCTTTATTTAGAGTGATTATAACTTTGCAAAAATTTATACTCACACAACTCCTGAACTAGGGAGAAGAGTTTATTTTAATGGTCACTCATTCAAGGCTTTTATGGACATTGCTGGCAATCTCACTGCCTAAAATTTTGTAATAGAAAGAAAACCAAAGTGAAAATTTACAAAATCACTTTGTTTCCATGTCAAAACTAGAGAGGCATAAGGCTCAGTGATTGCAAAGTGAACAGGCAAATCAGAAAACAGCTTGTGGAGAGCAAATGCCGCAACTCTGTTTTGCGCATCCTGTCACACACAAGTGCACAAATAATTATCATACTGATTACACTATAGATCTTTTTTTCTAGCTGTACTGTTAAACAACATAACTTCCTTGCGAGAAGATATATCCCTAACAACATTTACTCACAAGAGCCTAACTGAACACTTGGTTGGCATCTTATCAAAAAATGATCAAATTTTAAATTAAAGATCAAGAGAGTACCTCGATGGATTCAAAATCCTCAACCTGATGAGGAAGTTTAATAGTTACCAGACCCCCGGCTTCTCTGGTTTTACCACATCCACTGGATTTACACATAACACTTATAGTATATGAGATATTGTTTTCTTCACCAGTTACTTTATTGAACTTTGGTGCTTCCCACCCTGACTTTTGACACAGTTGATGGAGAATTGCCTTTGGGATCTTTTGTACTTGACCCTGTTAATTTTTTAACATGTTAAAGAGATATTCTAACAAAGGAAGTAACCATATGTGAAAAAACTAACTAGAACAAACCAAGAGGAGAAGAGAGCAGTGCATGGAAAAATAACTAAACTTTATATATCTATCAAGCATTGTTAGAACTCAACCGCTTGATCATAAAGTTAGCATAAGTGACAAAGTGACAAACGAAGAAGCAAGCATGTGCGCAACTAAAGCTAAATAGTATTTCTCCTAGGATTTTGTTATGTGAAGAGTTACCTTTTTCCAGATACCCTTTAGTTTCGCAATATTTCTCTCATCGCATAGTTCTCTCTTAGTTTCCTTCTTATGTAATTCCAGGAGTTCATGTGGAGAAGGTTCATAAGGCGGAACATCTTCTAAGAACAAGTCACCAAGCTCCATGTCTTCTAAAATATCATCCGACATAACTAATTCTTGTCCTGAGGAACTTAAGGGAAGAGCTTTAGGTTGTGTTTCCTCAGAATTACAGCTCCCAACAGGATTTGCACCCAAGTTTAAGTCATCTAACAGCTGAATACAGACAGCGTCATCAGGCATGGGGGAGGTTACTTCAGTTTCTGTAGCGTCTTCAAAAGATTGTTCACGCAGAAACTCAGGTTCCAACATTGCTTTTGGTATCCCTTCTAAACAAACACATATAGTTCATCACATACTGCACCAAGTCATGATTAACGGATTGATTACTAAAAAAAGATTAAACTTAACCAATACCAGATAACTCTTCCTTGGCTTGCAAATGGCTAGGCCTGCTTCTTTCTGTCCCCTTTTATCGCCTTTCCTCTTTGCTTTTACAGCATCAGATCTTTCCGAACAATAGTCTTCAGCAATCACCTCGAAAGGCCTTGGACCAGGCACCTAGTAATGTAAGTCACAATATATTACCACAGGAGGCGAGTTTATAAACTAATAAATATTTCCAAAACCTAAAGTGAAGTCTCAAATGCCATGAACGGATTAATTAAATAAGCTTCACCCACGTGATATCTTTTTTTAGAAAAACAAAAAACTCGTGAATCAAATTCAAAAGCACCCACACATTCATAGTTTTGTAAAAGTGACATCATTCTACAACATACAGGAAAAAAATTAAATGTATAACTAAGCCTGAAAAAGATTTGAGTTACCTCCTTATCATCAGAAGATTCCATTTCTTCCTGAAAATTCAATTCAAAGAGTTAAATCCATTGTGATTTATATATTTTGATCAAAGTATAAGGCTTTTGCAAAATGGTTGAACCCTTTCTATATGAGTACCTCTTCAAGTCTTCTCATGTACTCACGGATCCAATCAGCCTGAGATGATTGACAAGAACTAAGAGTGTCTTCTTCATCTCGCTTCCCCTTCACTCGAACTAAAACTTCAGGCTCCTCCTCCTGCTTTTCCTGGACTGCAGTAGACTCATAACACTCATTACAATCTTCCCCTGAAGTCGATATCACACCTACAAACACCAATAAGAAGGTACAAAAGCATCAATGCACAACCTTTAAAGCATTTACCGGCGTAGGAACACATGAAGATTCATAAGACTCACTACAATCTTTCCTTGAGTTCGATATCACACTCACAGAACCTCCTGCAAACACCAAAGAGAAGGTATAAGCATCAATGTACGACAAAAAAATCGCGAGAATGTCTCTGAGGAAATCGAAACATACCTGTATTAGGAAAGCGAGAAGATCCAGTAGAAAAGTTCAATGGCAACTCGTGACTCGGATAGTTCAAACAGAGCCAATCAAGCGCAGTCTCAAACGTCGCAGCACCATCCTCAAACATAAACACGCATATTCTATCAAGAATCGCCCAGAAAATAGAGAAATGTTACTAAAATTTGATTTATCAACAAATGAGATAAGTTACTCTTAGAGAGGAGAGAGCGGATTCAATCTGTTCATTTAAGAACCCTTCGCAAGAGAGTTTCTCGTAGAGATTTAAGAGTTTCTTCTTTTTCTGAGCCTCGGAGAACGCAGTTTGGATAGGAACCCTAACCGGAGAAGAGTTCCGGCGAAAGTTGAGCAAGAGTTGCCGTAGCCGTTCCTCGTCCTCCGGCGAAATCAGAAGCTTTGGGACTTTAGATGGTTTCTTGTGGCTCGAATTTGGTATTGAAGAAGCAACCGGTTTGTTGTTGGTTTGATTCTTCTGAGGTTTCTTCTTCGGCGCCATTCTCTGTCGTACGATCATCAGTCGGAGAAGAAACTGCTCATTTTCCAAATTTTTAGTTTCTTATTTTCTTTAAGGGCTTTTTGTTTGGAGCCAAAAGTTTAAATCGCATTTCCACTTTGGCCCCCAAAATGTTTTTACGTCTTTTCTAATTTACCCAAATAGTTTTAGAAGGATACTATTCAACCTAACAATTTGTAATTTGTTTTCCAAATATTCTGCTTTCGGCTAAAATTGATTTTTTTTCTTTTTGTTCATCGTGGTTGAAAATTTACTGTGGTTAAGTAAACAACAAATTCGGCATCAACACATGTGTAAAATGTATTCAAATGTTTTTAGTTTCGACGACTGATTTTTTGCAAAAATATGAAAAAGAAGAAACATATAAGAAAGTGAAGAAAACAGCGTAGGAAAATATAGAGAATCATGTTTCTCCTATTGAAAATAAATTTATACTATTATTTGAGAAGTAGATTTCCGACGTGTCAGTCTCATATTCGTTCTTAGTATACTTTAGACATCGATTTTTCTAATTATATCTTTAATGAAAACCGTGGTCTAATTATTGGTTTACACGGTTTGTTAAATTCAATGAATGGTTAGTTCGATAGAGATAAGATTGATTGTTCGGTTAGCTGGATAAGGATGGTTATTCTTTTCGAATCGCCGATTTATATGGTAGTCGAATATATGAATTATTTGGGTAAGGATGGTTTCGTTTATGAATTTATGAATTAGTTGGATAAGGATGGTTTTTCTTTTTCGAATTTTATGAATTAGTTGGATAAGGATGGTTTTCTTTTTTCGAATCGCCGTCTTATATGGGTCGAATATATCCGTTTATGAATATTTTTAGGTCGCCCTAGGTTACCGAGTATGTATAAATACTCTTGCTTCTTTTCACAATCTAAATTCAAGCCATCACATTTTTTAGGTTTTTGTCTTTTCTAGGGTTGGCTTTTATTGTCTTCGTATATATTGCTCCTTTATGTTTGTATTTATATATATATATATATATATATATCGCTTTCCTAGCATCCTAAATGGTTATAGTTCGTGATGTTTTCATATTCGTGTTTTGTTCATGTAGATGATTCTAACTCATGATGTTTTTATATTCGTCTTTTCTTTGTACAGGCTGCTGGTCGCTGCTGCTTGGTCTTCTGGTTGTCAAGGTAAGTTTGATGTATTTATTGTGTTTTTGTATATATTGCTCTTTTAAGTTTATATATATATATCGTTTTCCTAGCGTCCTATATGATTATAACTCATGATTTTTTCATATTCGTGTTTTGTTCGTGTAAACGATCCTAACTCGTGTTATTTTCATGTTCGTGTTTTCTTTGTATAGGCTGTTGATAACTGTTGCTTGGTCTTCTGGTTATCAAGGTAAGTTTGATGTATTTATTGTGTTTTCGTATATATTGCTCTTTTATGTTTGTATATATATATATATATATATCGTTTTCCTAGCGTCCTATATGATTATAACTCGTGATTTTTTCATATTCGTATTTTGTTCGTGTCAATGATCCTAACTCGTGTTGTTTTCATGTTCGTGTTTTCTTTGTATAGGCTTTTGATAGCTGCTGCTTGGTCTTCTGGCTATCAAGGTAAGTTTGATATATTTATTGTGTTTTAGTGGCTCTTCTGTCTTTCGAAATAATAAGAGTATATTGTTTTGTTTAAAATCTTTTTTTTTGTTGGCCTGTATATTTTTATTATTTTGTTTTTGTTAGATTTTTTTTGTTTACCTCTTAATGTAGGTTATTCATTGCTGTTCGCTAAGTGGGTTACGTTTTATCACATAATCTCTTCATTTAGACTATTCTTGGGTAATATTCTATGTTTTTGCTGGATGCCAGTGATATGTATGATATTTTATTTGTTAGTGTTAATTTTGTTATTGTATTTAACTGTTTGTCCTTTATTGAATGCTTTCGCAGGGTGTTATATTATTCACGATGCGTTATATTGGTTAGTTGGTCGTTTTGTAGTTATTTACATGTATATCTTTACGTGTTTATGTTTTACGATCTGTGATCTTAAATTTGCTTTAGATTTATGTCATTTTGTGAAAGTTGTTGACTTTGGTTCTGTCTGTTTTAGGAACTTATATTCTACCGTATCATCTTCCTGGTGCGAATATCAACGCGAATTCATTAAAGTTTACTGCTTGGATGGAGTGTAATAAGGTTAACCCTGATGCAATGCAATTGACTTACACGGAGTTCTTTACGAAGTTTGTATGGGATCGGAATAGTAAGTGTTGGAAGCCTAGATGTCGTGGTGGTGGGAAAAACTGGGTCGTTTGTCATATTGTCCTGATACTTCTGGAGAGATTTATTACTTGAGGCTTTTATTGCTTAGGGTAAAGGGTCCGACATCTTTTGATTCTATAAAGACGGTGGCTGGTATTGTTTATCCGACATTTAAAGATGCATGCCGTGTTTTGGGTTTAGTCGATGATGATAAAGAGTATGTTGCGGCGTTGTGGGAGGCAAGTCGTTGGTACGATGGTTCGGTGGTGCCTGTTTTGTATAGTGATTAGTAATTGCGTTGATGTTTTTTTTTAACAGACATATGATCCCGTTTTATGATTTTATGTTTTGTTTTGGTTTCTATTTTAAAGACTCAATTATTATATATATCTACAAATTATTCGAATCTTCGATATCTATTTGGTATGTTTTTTTGTTTAATATGTTTTGTGTCTACCATATTTTAATTAATCCTGGTTTTTGGCTTTTTCAATATATGTGTATTGTATATTTGAAAATGTTGATATCTATGATTGATATATTTTCAAATATATTGTTCTTATATATCAATCAATACATGGATAATGATGATTCACAGAGTAATAATGGATATTCTATGATTAATATATTTTTAAATATGTGATTCATATATATCAATCAATTCGTGTCTATTAGTGATTCATAAAAGCAATAATCGATATATTCGTATATATTAACATAATTGGGTATATTCAAAATCATTATTCAACATATTTTGGTAATATCCAATATGGTTATATAGTACGTATAAGATGAGGAAGTTTTACATTTGTAATATTGAAATTATATGTATTATATAATAGATATTCGTATATATTAACATAACTAGGTATATTCAAAATGATTATTCAATATACTTGTGAATATCCAAAATGGTTATATAGTTTCCCATGTCTCTAGAGTGTTGATTTCCGTAACAAATGACCATATATTTAATTCTATTATTATCTTGATATTGTCTTGTGATTTAATTATTATCTGTAACTAAATGTTTTCAGGCCCAAGTTACTGAGCATAGGAATGTAAACCCTAATTTATTACTCATTTTTAGGTTAGATTGACAGGATATATATATTCTCTCTAATTATTATATTCTATTCTGCTACGATAGGCTTGACAATAAGTAACAGCATTGATAATAACCTACTTTCAAATTATGGTTCTTTCTCTCTATGTTGTTGTGTCGTCTTCTTCTTCTTCTTCTTTGTTCCCTGAACATCCTACTCGGTCGTTGATGCATGCGTATGATACAAGGGTTTTACCCCCTGTAGGACAATTGCCCTAGCTTGTACTAGTCAGTTGCAGTATAGCATAGGGTTTAATCAATCCAAATGGGAAGAGTTGAAAACAGAAGAGTTGAGAGTAAGGATCTCTAAGTCAAGCAAGCAGGTAAAAGGGTTCTGTTGCCTAAGCAACAATTCTAACAACCTAAGTGAAATAAGCAGCAAACAAAGTGAAAACATAAGCAAACTAAGCAGTTCTAAGCAAGAAAAACAGAGCAAAACAGAGTAAATTCGAAATTCAAATAAGAGAAAGACAAGTTCCTAGATGTGGTTATTGACTTTGGGGAATTTCAGGCATTAATTAAGGCTGTTTCAAACTACATTGATCAAGCAAGCAAGCAAGCAATGGTGGTTCTTAGATATAGAGTTCACAATTAAGCTAGTTAGATCCAATCTCTTGGTAAATAACCCTTTGCTAAACACCTTAACAAGAACTAACTCTCATTAGTGCTAAAACATCAAGCAAGCATGATTAAACAACTCTATTCAAGTAATGCTCCTCAAACAGTCAATCTCTTGAGCCAAGTCCAGCAAATCCTCTATTAAACAAGGTCAGCATTTCATCAAACACCTGGTGGGCATAAGAAAAAGCTAACAACTTAGATAAGTTTGATCAAGAATAATCTAGCATGATAACAGATTAATAGAGAGGAACCCATAAACAGAAGTACATAACAAGCCTTAATCAAACCCTAGATTCCCCTAATCTACCACATCTAGAAACTCTAAGGTAACTACTCACTCATCATCATGTTTAACACCAAATCACAAAGGGAAATGATGCTAATCATGATTAAAAGAAAGATTAAAGAAAGATTAAAGCAAATACTTGATTGTATTAAACAAAGCAAAGAAATTATCTTACAAACTTAAAGAAATAGCTTAAGAACATTAATTTGACAAGACCTCTCGAAAATATAGAAAAAGGGGCTATTTATAGCTTAAAGGAGAAAACCCTAGAGTAATGGCAAAAGCGTAATTAAAAACAGGTTCGGGCTGAGTCAGTATCGGTCAGTTGTGTCGGTCTTCAGTGACCGAAATTGATCTGTATCGGTCTGTAGTGATCGACACTGGTGACCGAAATTAGCACGGTGTGTTTATGTCGATCACTTCTGACAGATACTGGTGACCGAAACTGGTCCGTATCGGTCATCCTTGATCGAAATCCATCGTGCTCTGACCGAAAACTTCAGCAGAGATCTTCTGCTTTGATACTTCTTGCTCCCTTTTGCCCAGCTAGCATCCTTGATCATCCCAAAGCTCCTTCAAGCTCTCTTTAGCTCCAAAAGCACCTAAAAACATCCAATATGCAAAGAAAATGCAATCTATATTCTAAATGCAACCTAAGTCTAAAAGGAGAAGAAAATGGGACAAAAGCTAAGGGAAAACATGCAAAAGAGGACCAAAATATGTACTAAATGCAGCCTTAAATGGTGTA